ACGTAGGCAGCCTACAGTTATCAGGCGCAGCCACGGGTTAGGGGCTCAGGGTTTATATTACTGTTTTCAGGGTTTTTCGTCTTTTACGACCCACGGTTATCAGGTGTCAGTTTTAAACAAGGTTCGACCCGCATTCCAAAGTGGAAATTGGGTCAGGTCGTTTCATTTTGTCCCCCTTAACAATTTAGAATAACAATATATTATTAAATGCATTTTTTTTATTTAATTTAATATGGGTATAATTGAAAATTTGTACAAACTTTATTTTCCATTCCTACTCAAAACAAACATGGGAAATGAAATAAAGTAATATCTCCCAATTACTTTCCCAGCATTACCAAATGTGGGAAATAAATCTTCCATTTCCCATCACTTGGGAAATAACATGGGAAATGATTTCCCCTCAAATTCATTCCGTGAACCAAAGGGGGCCTAAAGAGTTCTAGGCTCCAGCTATCTCATGGGAAAGGAAGATGTTTTTGGTCTGCAATTTGTAATAGTTATCCTATTTTTCTTTTGCATTTTAACCATTTTTAGTGATATTATTTTTCTATTTTACGCTTATTATATTATATAGGCTTATTTTTGTGATATATTCCTGAAAGTGTGTTTGAATCTCACTTTGCCTCATGAAACTCATTTTGTCTCATTTTACCCCATTTTCACACATACTTGTCTCACTTTACCCCATTTTCACAAAATATTAATTAAAAATTTAAATTTAAATTTCAAAATTTTAAATCATATTAAATATTAAAACATTTTTTAAAAAATAAACCAAAGGATTATGCAAGATTAGCTCCTCAATATCAGTCATCGGATGCACAAACATCCACCACCGTCAAAAAGAGGACCAACACTCTAGAAGCCCCCGCCTATCCCCTTGATCATAATTTATTAATAAGAAACAAAAAAGAGATACAAGAACAGTAGGGGGGACCAAACCAAACCTTGCAAAAGAGAATGACAATGACAAAAATGCACAACAACATGCTGACATAAGTGACCAAAACTCTGAAAAAGTAAACAAAAGAAACTAGGAGAACTGGTAATTAGGCATGCCCAGCCAATCCCGCTGACAAAAAAGCAAAATAAAAGAAGGTGTATTCCAGCAAATTAAACCAGAACCCAAAGCACCATGATTTGCCAAAGCATCAATAGCATGATTTGCCAAAGCATCAGCAGCATGATTACCCCCACGAAAGATATGAGAGATCTTAAATGACATGTGTTGGAGACGATGCATGCAATTTTGCTAATCAACTCATAGAAGCCAAGGGACCAAATGTGGAGAGTGAAGGAATTTAGTAACTAACAACGAATCAGTTTCAATCCAAAAATTATGCCAAGCATGGAGCCAAGAAAGCTCAATGGCCTTAATGACTGCTAAAACTTCACTGAAAATGCCCTAAGAACATGGCCCTGATAATCGCGAAACACACCACCACTACTTGCTTTGCCAAAGCAGCCTTTGTGAGCACCATCAATATTAAGATTAAATAATATTAAAACATTATTAAATATTAAAATATATATGTTATAAATATAACCAGAGTATAAAAAGCACCACTGAATATTGGGAGTAGGATTGTATTTGCTCTTGTGATTTTTACACTAACAAAATTTCCTCTCAAATAGAACTCACTAACTCTCACATTTATCACTCTCTTTTCTTCTCTCAATTGAGTGTGTTATCACTTCTCGTTTCTTCTCTTTATCTAGCAATGAAGAGATGAAGCCTTTAAATAGGCTGAAGAACCCGTGATGTTCAGTTGGTTACAAGGGAAGATGGCAGACAAATTGCTTCATTCTTTTCTTCTTTTGATTATGTGGGCTCCTTCACGTTCTTTACAACAAGATGGTGGCTGCTCTGCATCCCTACCTAGAGAGAGAGAGAGAGAGAGAGAGAGAGAGAAGAGGAGGAGATGGAGAGAGAGGGGAGGGGCGGGTGTAGGGATGTAGTTTTTTTTATTTTTAAAATTTCTTTATAATTTTTATATGGATTTTAAGTTTTAAAATTAAATTTTTTTATTTTCAATTAATCTTTTGTGAAAATGGGGTAAAATAAGACAAATATGTATGAAAAATGGGATAAAGTGAGACAAAATGAGTTTTAAAGGGTATATCAAAAAATATACAAATTTATAAATAAACCCAATCCTAGACATATATTTATAAAAAAACCCAAGCACTATTTAAACATAGAAACACACCTAAAATCAACCCCAAAGTCAACTTTTTGGGTGTGTTTATAAATGGGTTTTGAGTGTGTGTAATGATGGGTTTTGGGTGTGTTTATATGTTTAAATAGTGCTTGAGTTTTTTTATAATTTCAACCCTCATTTTGGGTGTTTTAGTGAAACTCCCCAAAAAATAAGCCTATTATATATATATATATATAAATTTGAAATCTTTAGTTTTTAATTTTTCATAAGTGTTATTAAAACACATGATCATAAGTGCACTTATAAAAGGACATTACTTAGAGTATCCACAATGAGTTCCTTAAACCACCTCCTCAGACAAATTTTAAGGAGGAATTGTAAAAATATAACTTCAACCATGCTCCCTATATACCTCATAAAATAGAGAGACCTCTAGGAGTTCCTAAATTTGAGGAGAGAGAAATGACTTTTAGTGGCTTCATATAATTTAATGCTGCTTCATTTAATGAGTATTTCAAACATTTATTTAATGCTAACTATTTTTTATTTTATTTTTAATAGAGATAGACGGATCAGAAAAAGTTATAGCATTTATGACTCCCTAAACTAGAGAGCACTATTGAAGTTTAAATTTTATTGAGAGCTCTTAAAATAATTTATATATATTTTTAGCTAAAATTTAACTAAAAAATAGAAAACATGATTGTGGATACTCTTACCTCCTTTATTGGAAGAACACATTCCTCATTCTTGATATAGCACGTATGCAAAAAATAATAATTCATTAAAAATAAAAAAATAAAATTGTATGTTACATACGTACTAAACTCGAGGTAAGGAGTAAGCATTTTCCCAAGTGAGGTAGAATTTGTCATGGTAATTTTGGTCAATCGAAAGGTAAGGTAGGGCACACGTGTCAGAAGACATGTGGACGAACAACAACCAAAACCAAAAAACACCCAAGTCGGCGAGTCAGCACGAGAGAATAAATAAAAAAAATAAATAAATAAAAAAGGTAAACCCTTGACACTGCCTCGCTCAAAGTCGCACTTGCACACACCCATTGCTTTCAGTCGCACATCTCATCTCATCCTTTTCACCCGCCATTGAAGGTTCTATCGAAGCTCGATCTCTTCGAGTCGTCATCCACTACCTACCTGATAGCCCAATCCTTCGCTCATATCTCCGATCTTCCACTCTTCAGCCGCCGTTGGATTGCTTTGTTGCAGGTGTGCAGGCAAGCTTCAGATTTCATGACTTTTTGTTCTTCTAGTTTTCCGATTCATGAAATTTCCTAACTTTGTGCAATTACTGGTGATTTGGTGGCTGGGTATAAAGCATAATAGCTTTAATATTTTCTTTTTTTGTTATAAATTAATTGTATGCTGGTATTTTTGCTGCCCATATTAGGAGATTTTTGTTGTAATCCAATAGATTTTGAAGCTTTTTATTTTTTTTAATTTTTATTATTATAGTAATTTTGAATTATGAATGGCAACGTCCTAATATTGGTGAAGTTGCTGATCAGTGTTTTAGTTTAAACATTACTTTTTCGTTGTTAAATTTTTTTGTTTTGATTAGTAGCTTTAGTATTGAGAGGTTTAAATCTTATCTTGTATTGTATGAGTGAGGCTTTATACTGTTAACATAAAAGTGAGGAACAATGACAAAACTATGGTAATCTCCTTTTTAAATGGGAGGGTTAAGGATAAATTACAACATTGTTTTTTTTTTTTCTTGATATCTATTGGTTGGAAGATGAAAATTATACCAAGCAAAGTGTCTTTGTACACTACAGAGAAGAGAACGTTATCGTTAATTTGGTGTCTGAGCTCTGACAACTATCAACTTTAATAGTTTTGGTGGAAATTGAATTTTATTGAGCCTCTCAATATATCTTTTCATTTTGTGTTTGTATTCATGGGATGATGTTAAATTAAAGGGGAGGGTTAAGGATAGATTGCAACATTGTTTTTCGTTTTCTTGATATCTATCAATTAATTTTTATGGTGGCCAAGTGAAAATCATTACAGGTAAAATGTTTTTGTACACTACAGAGAATTAAACATAATTTGGGTACTAGTATCTGAGCTCTGATTGCTACCAATTTGAATTTTTGTGGGGAAATGACTATATTAAACCCTTCTATGTATATTGTATGCTTTCAATTTAGTTTAATATCCATGAGAAAATGAAAGTTTATTTGAAATATTATAAGAAACTAATACTTCCCGCTAAAATGTCATTCTGCAGAATACAGACAAGCAAGCATTATCGAAGCTCTGTGTCTGAGCTGCAAAGATAGATTCGTCCGATCGTAAGCGAAAGAAAGCAGCTTCTTCTATCTGGGCGGCAGATCGCACGAACAAGGACAAAGAGAAAAGTCAAGCCACCAACAAGAGCAAAAAGACGAAAATGTCCTCGTCAGTGGGGAATCAGGTGAGGGCATCCCACATACTGATCAAGCACCAAGGTTCCAGAAGAAAGGCCTCATGGAAGGATCCAGAAGGTGCCATCATCAAGAACACCACCCGAGACTCCGCAGTCTCTCAACTGAAGGGCCTCCATGATGACATCATTTCTGGCAAGGCCAAGTTTGATGACCTCGCCTCTCGCTACTCTGACTGTAGCTCTGCCAAACGCGGCGGTGATCTCGGTTAGCACCTAACTTTCACAAAGTTCAAAATTATGGTTTAGGTTTACAATTGTGTTTTGTCATTATAAATTATCCCATTAAAGGCATTAAAATGTGGGAAATCCAAACAGAAAACGTGCACAAAACTGCTTAGTTACAGACTGCAGTATAGTATCTGAAATATGAGCTTTTGATTTTATTATTTTGAGAGGAAACATAATTTGGTGGACCAAAATAATTGCAATTCTTGTGGACAAGGTGTCCACTACAAACTAAACAGCTAAGCATCTCCAGGAGAGTCTCCAAATTTTAGCCAAATTCTAGCTAAAATAGTTAGAAAGCTATTATAGCAAACCACTTAAAAGGTGTTTCCTCAAGCAATGTTCTCTATTTTGGCTAATCTGAGATTTTTTATTATTATTTTATCTTTCTTTCCCCCTCTTTCTCTTGCAAATCAAATATATTAAAAAGAACCCAAGCCCACTAACCTCCCAAATGTCTCTATTTCTCTCCCCCTTTTTTCTCTCCTCTTAGCTAAATTCTCTCTCCTCCTTGCTAGATGTAGAGAGCCCAAAGTTGGTTCTCCAAAATAGAGAGCCAAGTAGGGAGTCTGCTGGAAGGAGGATTTTCCGTCTTTTTAGCCAAAGTAGCTAGAGAGTCTGCTGGAGATGCTTTAATGCAATAAATCTTTAGCTATCAACGGTGAAAAATCTTGGTAAGAACAGCTTTCCAAATCCCAAGATTGCCAAAGATGGACCAAAGCTCCAAATAGGCCAATCCCCAAAGTAACATTTAAAATATTACATAATCAGTTTATCCCGTAAAAAATTTCTCTCTCCCTTTTATAGTCTTCAATTTTTTTTTAATTCTTCCAAGTACAACACCCCAAAAGCAGCCATCACCTCCCAGTTCCGCAACACCCCTGCCTTTTTCCCTCCACCAAAATCCTTGTGCCTTCCACACAAAAAATCTGTGCAAGTCGTTGGAATTACCCAACTTTGCAAAAGAATGACTTCCACTTGATTAGTTAGGGATTAAAAGTGAAAATTTATTTGTGTTATTACGTACATATTGTCTAACTATTGTTAAGTAACATGTTGATGAGTTTTACCTGTGATATTTTCCTTCTCATCTATCGTTGCTAGTCATGTAAATTATCTTGCTGTAAAGAGAATAGGCCCTACAGAAGGCCTATAAACCATGATCTTATTCCTCAAATAAGATTTAAATTATTGCTGAGGTGCATGTCAAACTATTGCTGCAGGTCCTTTTGGCAAGGGCCAGATGCAGAAGCCGTTTGAAGAAGCAACATTTGCTCTCAAGGTTGGGGAGATAAGCGACATTGTGGATACAGATAGCGGAGTTCATATCATCATGAGAACTGGTTGAGCACTGGAGGAGTGAAACTGGTTTTGCAACACGATTTGTTCCTTATATTAATGCCTATGGCTGGCAGCCAACTCTTATTGTATGAAGTGATGGTGACTCTTTGATGTTTGAGTACTGAAAGATGGATTTAAGCACCGTTTCTCATAACGTTGTTATTCTCCGAATGTTATGGTTGTGGTTTTGGATTTCCTATGGAATGTTTTATCTGTCTCTTTGCGTATGTTCTGAATTCTGATGGCAAATACTGTTTTTTTTTTAAATTATAGTGTTGCTACTTCCACTATTTTTACGCCCGCCAAATTTCAATTCTAAACAATAATAATCCTCCCTTCCTTTGTACCATTGTATCATGACAACATTTTAAGTTACAAAATTAGTGTTGGATCTTGTTTTGGACCAGATCACTCTCCATTTTGGGTGTATGCACTCAGCAACCTCCGTTGTGGTGTAAGAGTAAAGTGCTTCAACACTTGGCAGCCTCCATTGTGCGGTAGCAATAAAGTGTGTTAGTCCTCGGCAACTTCCATTGTGTGGTAGCGGTGAAGTGTTTTTTTTGTACTCGATAGTCTGTTATTGTTGGGGTGATTTAGGTGGTGTGGGCCTTTGAGAGAATTGATGAGGAGCACTTACCGCGGGGGTTCAGAATGGGGAGCCAAGCCCAGGATACTTCAAGGGAAGTTCAACCAGAAAGAAATCTTCTTGTGGTCTTGCTGGGCCAGTGGCACGGGAAACACAAGATGTCAAGTATGTGCCTTTAACAAAGAGGAGATCAGTAATGAGAATGGAGTGCGGGAGAGAAAATCATGGTAAAGTTATATAGGAGCAGTTCAAAATGGGAGATTATGGTCATTTGGCTTGTGTTTTCCACAAATGTAGGGGTGGGCATGGTATGAGATGACATGGGATGGAGGTCATCCCGGTGTCAATCCCATATAGGAGAATCGGTATGGGATGACACGGGATGAGAGTTTTTGAAAATACGTTCAAACCATACCGAACCTAATCGGGATCGGTATGATTCGGTATCAATGTTGATACCGTAAAAAATCTACAAATTTTCATAAATAAGTGTAATACAACAAAATAAACAATCAAGAGTCTTGATTCAAACCATTATTAAACCATGGTCAAAGCACATGCTTTCTACTCACCTAGAAAGAAGAAGAAAAAAAACATGCTATTTTATTTATTTATTTAGCTATTTATTTTTTGGGATATTTGTTGAAATGTCATCTAAACTTACACCTTAGTTTCATTTTGTCACCTGAAATTTTTTTTTAAGTGAAATGTCACCTGAATTTTTCAAAATCCATGATTTGTCACCTCAGTTTAACATAATCCAATTTTCCATATATTTTCAAGGGTATTTTAGTCTTTTCATTTTCAAGAATATTTTTAAAATGGAAAAAATTATTATTAAAAAAAATAAATTTTAAATGTAAAAATGGTTGGGGGTTAAATGTGAAAAGATATATAATTTTTGTAATTTCCAAAGGTCTTTTCATAATTTTTTTATAATGATTTTTCCATTTTAAAAATACTCTTGAAAAGAAAAAGACTAAAATACACTTGAAAATAGTTGAAAAAGTAGATGAAGTTAAACTCAGGTGACAAATCATGGATTTTGAAAAATTCAGGTGACATTTCACTTAAATTTTTTTTTCAGGTGACAAATTGAAACAAAGGTATAAGTTCAGGTGGCATTTCAATGAATATCCCTTTATTTTTTATATATGAAAAGGAAAGCAATTGAAGAAAATAGAAAGAAATAGCCATATTGGTAATAACTATTAACAACACCACACACACAGATTCAAATTGGCAACATTAGCATTCAAACAGATAACTGTTAACTAAATTAGATGGCGAACATGGAATGATCTGAAATGCCACAATATTACAACCCATTGAATGGAAAAAGCGCAGGAGAGAAACAAAGAGGAGTTGAAGAAGAAATCCGTGGAGAGAGAGGAGGAGGAACTGAATTAATTAAGTTAGGGTTATTATTTACATGTACTGTTCGGTACGGTATGATACCAAACGGGATCACAAAGCTGTAACCGATGTCGTGCCAAGCAGTAACGGGATGACACGGTATCATCCTGTTTACATGTCAACACCAAAAGGGACGGCACGAGATTGGCATGGTTTGGCACGATTTCGGAATGGTTTCGGTATTCCGGTTTTAATGTCCACCCCTAGGTGGATGCACATTGAGGTTAGGGCTTGTTTATGGCTATCTATGTATGAGGACCAAAAGGCGATGGTTGTAGAAGCCACATTATGTGCAATTAAGGCATAATATGGATATTGTTGTCTAACTTGGAGGATGAGGGTGGACTATTCATAAGAGATTATGACTAAAACTTATCCCTCATAATCTCACCATTTCAAGGGAATTAGGGGGGATACGTTTTAGTTATCAAACCTCTTATAGATAGTCTCCATTCTTCCTCCAACTTAGACAACATATCCATATTATGTATTGAATGCACATAAAATATAGGCATTTGCCTAATCTAGTCCAATCAAAGGACATATAATGATCAGAACTCCATCATTATATGTCCATCATCACTAATTTTACTCGAAAAAAGGAAAATAAAGAAAGTAGGAAACATTTAGAAAAGAATGAAGAAAGAAAACTATATAACTAACCAATTAATTAGTTGAAACTACTTATAATGGCCCAAAGCCTGCATGCCAGTCATTGACCATAAATAGGCATTTTCCCCTAGGTGTACGCTCCCAATGGAACATTCAACGCAAGAATCAATTCAAGTTCAATGCAGTACCTTCAAACATTTAACAACACCTCTTTGCTCTTCTGTTCGTGCTTGCTGCATTGTTCGTGGGCACCAAGCAATACGAAAACTTCTCTACGTTTGATTATGGTTGAATATGGTGAGTAGGGTGTACTTATTAAAATTATATTTGTTTCATAATTTAATATATCTTTTTTGGTCTTTTTATATTAGGGTAAATTAGTAATTCAATAAATAGTTTGGTGGTAGGGTGTACTTAGTTAATTTTAGGATTCGTTTAGCATCACTCATTCCAAAATATATTACAGTTACTAATTTCATATTGAACTAAATATAATTTGATCACCAAATAGACATATATATACAAGTTATTTCATAAAAGGACAACAATATATAAGCACCAACATATAATACTTTTCCAAACTTATCGTATGAGTTTTCAATTTTGAGTCAATTTAATCCTTCAAATGGTTGGGTATATTTAGAATTTTGAACTAGTTTCCAAAATTTTCCAAAATTTCTAAGTTTTCCGAAGTGGAATGAATATTGAAATTCCAAATTTTTTTGAAAAGGAATGAGAATAGAATTTTCATTCCGATTTTTTATTTAGAATTTGAATTCCCTGATTTCGATTCGACCCGACCGAAAGGCAGCCCCTATGTAAATCCAAAATGGTGTACACTTTGAAGGCACCAGATGAAAAGTAATTTATTTTTTCCAAAAAAGAAAAGTAATTTTGAGGAAGATGTCTTGTTTCCAACAAGAGAATGATTTGCGACAGATATTTTTGGTAAAAGGATTCAATTGTCGTCGTCAATTTCCAATTACGAATAAAATGTAAGTGGGGAAGTAGCATCACTCGTTAATTAATGCTACTGAATAATTGAAAGTTAACTTAACTATGTACTATTAATTACCAAAAAAAAACTTAGGGTGTGTTTGTTACACTGTGCAAGCTTGGATTGGCTTGGCTAAAGTTTTATCCGTGTTCTTAGTGAAACCTGTCTGTAGAAGAGGGACTAACAGTCTCGATGACCCAAACAACTAGCAACCACACCCAATCGCCCCACAACCAACGGCCCACCAAGCGGCAGCCACAACCACCAGCCACGACCACGGGCCATAGCCACCCAAGAAGGAGAAGACAGAATAGAAGAGGAAGAGGAGAGAACATAAAATTTTCAAAAAACAAAACAGAGAATAGGAGAGAAAATGGAGAAGAAGAGATGAGAAATTTTTTGAAAAAAATAGAGAAGAAGAAAGAAAATGGAGAAGAAGGGAGAGAAAATTTTAGAAAAAAACAGAGAAGGTGAGAGAATTTTTGAAAAAAGAAAAGAAAAGTAGACAGAAGAAGAGGAGAGAAAATGGAGAAGAAGAAGATGAAAGAGATGTAGAGGGGAAGAAGAAGAGATGCATAGAGGTTCTTCCAAAAAAGAAAAAAAGAGATGCAAAGAGGAAGAAAGAGATGGAGAGAGAAGAAAAATAAAAAATCTTACTTAAAAAAAAGAAAAAGAAAAAAAAAGTCCTGGTCTAATCAAACATACACCAAGCGCTGTACAAGTGTTATACAGTTTATGCCAAGCCAAGCCAATCCAAGATAGTACCAATATTTAATGCAGTCCATGACAATCCCCCGTACCAAATGACCCCTTAATATTGTATGTACATATTACAAGGATTCAAAATATTTTTTTCTTCAATATTTTTACTTTAAACAAATATATAACTCAATCCTCAACTCAATGGCTCGGAAAATTATTGTAAAGTACAATAATATGACCACGTGATATAACTCGTTTAAGTGTTCAAAAATCATCATTTGATACGCACCAGCTAGGAAAATTTGATATGTACAAAGCAAGCCTAAAATGCCCCGTCGCAGCTGATCATTTTTCCAGTTTAACTACCTTCTTATTTATTTATTTATTATTTTAAAAACTAGTGTAAAATGTGAAATTAAGGTAAAAGACGTCTGTTGGTCTTACCAATGCAGGCAGCGACATGAATATGAAACTGTCTCTGTCGTTTTATATCTTGTGCTTGTCTTTTGGTCTTTTTAAGTCCTGTAATAATTATTAACTCAACACGTCTTTATCATATCTTTCACTTTCATTTTCTTCCAACTTTTCATGAGGGATATTTTTTATTTTCAAAGAAAAAGTCCCTTTTTGGGTTGTGTTTCTGGTTATTGAATTGGGGATTTAGTCAAAGTTTGGATTGTATGTAATTCTCTGAAGATCAATTCAACATGTGATTGTGTTTGATTACTTGAAAAGATTTACCCATATTCGGCACATAGTTGCTTTGTATTTTTGTTTGTTCATCAATAATATACTATCGCTTATTTTCAAAAATAAAAAACGTCCCTTTGGATGTTTTTACATGCATTAATTTTGCATTTCTACAACTTGGACAGGAAATCGAAGAGCTAAGTAATTATTAACTTCGCCTAGGGGTAGCTACCTTTATTTTCTTTCTTTCCAAGTCCTTTTCTATATATCAGAAGTTGAATATAAAA